GCTTAACCGACTGAGCCACCCAGGCGCCCCTAATTCCCTCTTTATCATCTACTTTTGGAATCTGTGTTCTACCTTAATTCTTTTTGGAAGGAAGTGATAAATTTTAAATGGTCGCATATATTCTTTTTAGAGTTTTGTTAATATTGACCTGTATTTCTTTTAAACGGTGTGGACAAAATTAATATTTCTTTCTCATACTTTCTTGTTAAACTTTGTATATATATATTTTAAGGTTTTTATTTATTAGCAAGAGAGTGCACACGAGCTGGCAGGCTGTGGGCAGAGGCAGAAGCAGACTCTGTGCTGAACAGGGAGCCTGACCGGCCTCAATCCCAGGACCCCGAGCCAGTCAGGTGCTTAACCAACTGAGCCACCCAGGCGCCCCTAAACTTTGTATTTCTTGTATCTCTAAATGACGTAGACTTGTTTAGTTTTAATTTTATTGGTACTCGAAAATAATTTTGTCTGGTTTCATTCAAATAGGGTCAAAAATACAGTTAATTACAATTTTCTGGAACTCTTTCATGGGGGTGGAGGGTTACAGTTTTAAAAGAATATCTTTTCCTAATTAAGGTTATATTGACCATGATGTTGCGTTCTCTTTAACAGAGAAATTTAAAGTTTTAAGAGTATTTTGTGTTCTGGAAGGCAACTCAAATGAAGTTTATTATAAATTCATTGCACATTAAATATATAAATTTTTGGTGCTTCATTTAGTTGATTTGAACAGTATTTGAAAAATAATTACCATGACAACAAATAGACTCAGTTATAATGCTCACCCTGATATTTACTGGAAGTTTATATTGAAAGAAATGAAGCTCAGTAGGGAGATAGGGGTGTGATTAATTAGTGACTTCTGCTGTAGGCTTGATAATGGGAGTGTAAGAGGATGGCAGCCATTTTTTTTGTTTTGTTTTTTCTTAGCTGCTTAAAATAGTTTGCAGTAACTTTCTTTAGAGAAAATATAGAAATTGTGTCATTTTTGTATTACTGATTTTGTTAAATTTAGTAATTACATCTAATTTAATGATTTTTTTGTTCCCAATTGTGTGGGAGTGGTTATAAAGGTGTTCAAGCCAGGTATATCTGGTAAATCAAACACATTCTTAGGTATAGGTTATTTAGAAAATTTAGACTTTTGAGTTTTTTTTTTTCTTTAATTTATCTGGATCTGTTTTCTGCTTTTTTTTCCTCTCAGTATTCCATTTCCTATCTATTTAAAGCCTTCAGCTTAAAGGCCACACCTGTTTTTGTTCAAAATGGTCAGTAAATTGTGGAAAGGAGGTGTTTTGTTTTGTTTTGTTTTTAGTAGAACAGACTGTGCAAGTAGACTGTAAACTTCTCAAGGTCACTGGCCTTGACAGTATCTTGGAATTCTCTTTGCCATCCCTAGTTCAGGGTCACACATCTTGTGAGCACTCTTAATATTTGTGGACCAAGGACATAAGAGGTGTTCTTGTTTTTGTTGTTGTTGTTGCTTTTTAGTATTACAAGAATTCAAAGGATTTGGAAGAAGGGTCTTTTTGAGTTAAAGCTCTGGGTAAATAAAATTTTATATATTGATAGATGTAAATTCCACATAAGGGACCATGCTGGTTAGAAACAGAGTAAAATCTTTTAAAACTAAATAGCTTTCTAAATAAGAGGTCTTTATCTGGGGTTCGTGAATTCCCTCTAAATTGAGGGGAGCTATAGATGGACTTTAATGGGGTGTCATAAAGTAGCATGCTAAGTTT